GTTTTGTCAAGGAGAAGACCAAAACAATTATTGAAGATTGTTAATTGGTTACAAGCTATGTGCCTTACAATTCTTCACCTCACTGTTTCAACAGCTGATCATATGGTTCTTTACTCATTCAGTGTCAAGGTTAGTATATGAACAATTTTCTAAGATTATGTCATTTCGTACTAGATACATTTGACTGGATATAAAATTAAAGAAAAAGGATTTTTAGCACATAATAGAAAGATTTTTTTAAAATATATCATTTTTTTGTTACTGAAACAGACTAAAAAGAAAGAGTGAAATAGTACTCGAATCTATCTAATCTTGAGATTTTGAATATTTATACTCTTGGAATATATAAAAGTTTGATAGTGCATGCAAATAATAAAAGCCAACCATTATATGAAATTCATGGTCGATCCCTGTTATTTCATTTCTTGCTTCTTACTATTATTTTAGACAGCATAATTAAAAAGAAAAAAGTATAATTTGTGGGTCCGGTTGAACTCGATATTTTGGTTAAAGGTTAAAACTTTATATTTTTAAGAAATTTACCGAATATATATAAATTAAATTATTAATTTTGAACTTCATAACTTAAAAAGATTCTGAACCGGTAAACTCTAAATCCACGCGCCATTGTATACAGGAATTCGGACGAATTTAATAGCTTTTGTTTAAACCTTATATTTGTACTAGAGAATTCATAAAATATGTATAGATTTCTAACAACAAACCCCGTAAGTAAGACAAATTAAGGTTCGATAATGAATTCAAAAGTCATAAACTTTAAATTATAACTGCCTCTGATTGTATATATATTCTCATCATATTGGCCAAAATAGATTTGAGTGATGAGAAGCAAAATGAAGGGAATCTAACTATTTGTATTTACATGAGACAGGTGGAAGATAATTGTCAGCTAAATACAGTGAGTGATATAGCAAGTGCTGTGCATGAAATGGTGGCCATGATAATTAAGGAGGAGGCTATGTCTTGTTGAGATGACCTGTCTCTTCTTCTTGTCCTCCACCCCCCAATGAAAAAACAAATATTAAAATTAAAGCTATTTCTTCTCAAGATTGTATGTATAATTTCTTGTCATTATCAAATCATTGCTTTCTTTAGATTATTGANCCCCCCCCCCCCCACACACACACAATGAAAAAAAGATATTAAAAAAAGTAAAAAGAAGGGAGAAAATTAAAGCTATTTCTTCTCAAGATTGTATGTATAATTTCTTGTCATTATCAAATCATTGGTTTCTTTAGATTATTGATGACATTGTTTAATTTAGTACTTATGTACAAACTCCAACAAGATCTTAATTCCCCCTCCCCACGCCCACCAAACACATGCCACATGGCCTAGTAGTACTCGAACTTTAGTTTTGAGAATGTTTTTGTTTGTTTTCCTGCAATTATTTTCTATATAGGGACGTTCTGGACCACGATGTGATTTTATATATGTGGGAACTTTCCTTAGAATCTTTTACTCCATTTGTTTGTTTGAAACGAAAATATTATATACAATTATGCATTTCATACAGAGGCGGACTCAGGATTGGAAGATTGTGGGTATACTTTTTGCATTCAATCAAAATTTTCTTTGTATGTAAGGAAGGGCGAAGCTATATATGGCTAAGAGCGGTCACCTGAACACCCTTCGACGAAAAATTATACTATATATAAGATAAAATATTACGTGTTATTGATTTAAAAAGTAGACTTTGAACACCCTTGCATAGTCCACAGGCAAAAGGTATTCAAATCCTGGTTTCACTACTATATGTAAGGTGTCACTATTAATATATTATTATTTTTTAAAGCTTTCCGAGTGCTGGTGATCCCTCGCTTTTTATAATATAGGTTTGTCTCTGAGTACATACTATGTAACTATATGTAATACTAATACTTTTACAATGGTACATAGTGCTAGGGCCAGTTATGCATACCTCAACTACTCCAATGAGTACATGTCATCTTCTACCAATATAAGTATTGGTTAATTATGCCTATTAAAATTTTAGTAGATAAGAAGAAATCATTTAACGTTTTACGGCTTAGGCTAATATACAGAGATTAGTTTGCTCTATTGAGATTTAATTCCTGGTCGATCTTAAATAATTTTATTTTCACCACTTCCAAATACGACGGAGAGTTGGATGGAAAAAAAGTGTATACACCCCTAGTTTGCCGAACATGGTAATTTATTTGCCCTACGGACCGATGGACCCCGTTTTCTACATTAGTAAAATGATTGACAAATAACATAGCACACCAAGTTCATATAAAACCTAGACAAAACCAGTCGTCAATATTCTCAGCAAAACTAAAAAAAATAATCAAAATCATTAACTACAAATTTAATGTTTGTCATAAAGAATTTACTTGTAATTATCTTATAAATAATTTAATTGCGTAACCTTTTGTTATATTGTGAGTGGATGAAACTTGCTCTTTTTCTAAAATAAGGTAGAGTCGATCGACGAGATATAAATCCGTATCCAAAGACACGGACAAGAAACAAACACCAGTTTTAGCCGATAAAGAAAATTAGAACTGTATTAATTTTTGTTTTACTATCTAGTAATTAATGACTTAGTTTCACATAAATAAAGTTGAGTTCCTTACTTTTTCTGTTATCAAAATGACAAAATGTTCAAAATGTTAGGACCGTAAAAGTCAGGTGTCATACGGAAGCTAGCAAAGCAAACCTTGAGCGACGATAAATCATACAACAAAGGAGAAATATATCAGAAGGGACACAAATATTTAACGTGGTTCGGTCAACTGACCTACGTTCACCGCGGAGATGAGTAATCCACTATATAAAAAGAGAGTACAAAATATCGAGAGAACAACCTCACGAAGAGGCAAACACAAGTGACACACTAACACTTGTCCCGTAAAGTTCTCCCCCTAAACACGACTCTTTACCCCATATGGCTACATTGTGGATGTTACTGAATGAAAAGGAAGGATCCTCAATTTACAGAAGTCCAAACTTTTTCCTACAAAAAAAAGGACTAGCCAAGTATAAGAGAATTATAATTTCCTTCTACAAAAAGGAAAACCCAATTAAGGTAATTATATTGCCCTTTCCTTCAACAAATAGAAAAACCAAATATGGTAAGAAAATTATGGCAAACACCTGACACAAAAAGCTTTATGATCAACCGTTTCTGGATAGTTCTTTAGATATGTTAGTCAAAAGTTAATTTACTTTTTGCATAAATCATCTCTTCCTTTTTTTCCCATCACCATCTACTGAAAGCTGGACAATGAAATAACTTCATATACATTTCTTTCTTAGCTCCAATAATAGCAATTTGGAATGTTTTCTTAGCGCATGCCAAGCATAGTTCTACTGTGTTGATCTCCGGTTATTTTCACGTGTTGTCATTAAACTTTATTTATTATAATAGTAAAATCACAACATTATTTTTTCCACATTGAAATAATTGAACTTTATCGATTGTAGTAAAATTACTTTATTTTACCCACTACAATGACATAATTTGTCATCAAGGTAAAGTTACTGTTAGGGGTCGTTTGTAGGATGTATTAGGAAAAAAATAATATATTTATTAGCTTTGGTATTAATTTCTTGTTTGATAAGTACTAGTGTTTTTCAACTTATACACCCTAATTGGTTTATCCTATGTATAAGTAGTACGCAAACCATGACATTAGTAATATCATGATTTTAATACATGGATAAGCATGTACTTCCCCTTATGCAAATGCATGTTATTTTTAATACACCAAACCAATCAGTTAATAAGAAATAATATCAGCCTAACTAATTCAGTATTACTAATCTTCACATTATTACTAATACACTATATTCATTACTATTCTTATACCCCATTCCATATGACCCCTTGTAGCATATAACGTTTTGTGACCTTCTTGTTATAATAAACAAAGTCTAGTTACTTTAGTATGACCAACTAATTAATTATAATTTGCACTACTATCCAATATCTAGGTACCCCAACTCGATAGTGTTTTGGTTGAGCAATTTGTAGAGCTAGCTAGTGTTTCGTAATCGACATTTCCATAACTTAGGAAAAATCCAAATCATTATGTTTATTGACTCAATTCATTTTTTTGGCCCCTAAAAATAATTTCCTTTTCCCTTATATGTATATCTAGAGGATACAAAAGTGAGCATTATTAATTTTGCACCTTCTCGTCAAATCATTTGTCGTCCGTGTCAATTTTATCCAGAAAGGAACATCTTAGCCTATTTCGAGGAAAGTTCAAAGAGATGACAAGTTTTTGTTTTAATCACTTTGTGTTCTATGTTCGTTTTGAAACCCCGACTAAATTAGATTCGCGCCGCGTAACATTCATTGAAGGGAAAACTCTCCCTACTAGAATTTTTTACATACCCAAGTTTCAAACTTACATAGAGATCTGATTAAAAATAAAGGGATGCTATCTATCGTACCACGACTGTTGATTGTAACAAGGTTGTCACTATATAAATATTAGAAATACGAATGAGAAAAGAAATGTGGAGCAAATGATGGAATTTAAGAAGAAAAAAAATTATTCCGGAAAATTTTGCTGGCAGAGAACTAAGAAAATAATTTTTGATAGGACTACAATTTTAGAAGAAAAAGAAAGTCAGTTTTGTAATAAGCATATGCTAGAAAAGAAAGGAGTTGCTTGTTTGAATGAATTTTTTTCAACTTTAAAGGCAATTAGGTACTTGGTCTCCAGAATATGTACTGGTGGAATATTCTTTAATTTTGAAAATCATACCTTGCTAAATTAAAAATGTTGAAGGAAATTTTTGAATGAATATCTCATCTACAAATAATATTGTTGGAAGAAAAGTTGTCGCCTACGCAACCTATCTCCCAAACCAAAGAGATCATCAATTTTTTTTTCTACTCTTCAACTAATTGAATAGATTGAGTTATGACTCGTTTTTTAACTTATTCTGGCCCAACTCATTTTGACTCAAGCAAATTTTTAGCCGATTATGACTCATAATAGAGTTGATCTATAATTTGACCTGTCGAGTTGACCCAAACCACTCATGTCTATGTTACATATGAAAGTGTCACGATTCGGATTTTCCACTGTCGGGATCGTGATTGCGCCTAACTCTTAGAATGCTAGGCAAGCCAACAGATACGATTCTAACATATTAATCATTAACCAAAACAGTAATTAACATTAATTTAAACTAAACAAATATGAAGTGAGGAAATTTTATATCAGTTTAAAACAGTAATACATAACTACCCAAAAGATCGGGTATCACAATCCACGATCTTCTAAGAATTTTCTACAAATAGGGGATTAAAAGAAATACATATGTTCTCGAAATACAAGAAAACAGGGAAACTAGGATGTAAAGAAGGGGACTCCAGGGTATGCAGGCGCCGACAGATCTACCTTAGGTCTCCTGTGGACTGAAAGCAGCAACCCAATCTCTAATCAGTGTGGTCCAGTACTGGGATCTGCACAGAAAGTGCAGAGTGCAGTATCAGTACAACTGATCTCGTGTACTGGTTAGTGCCGAGCCTAACCTCAACGAAGTAGTGACGAGGCTAGGACACGATAAATAACATAAACCTGTGCAGTTAAATCATATACGAGAAAAGTAACAATAACAAAAATTTAACAAATAATAATGGGAAGGGGGAAAACATGCTGGGGAGACTATGAACATTCTGAAAATAGTACAGTACAGAAACACAGTAAATATCATGCTTTGACCCAACGAAAGTAGTAACACAACAATCACGTGCACGACATCACCCTTCGCGTTTTTACTCTCGTCCTTACAATAAGCAACAACAGAAATGACACGACATCACCCTTCGTGCATTAACTCTCTTATAATTATGGCGCGACATCACCCTTCGTGCATTATCAATATCAGAATGCAGCACGACATCATCCTTCGTGCATTAACACTCACTCACAAAACATTGCACGGCATCACCCTTCGTGTTTTACACTTTTCCTCACCCAAACAACAGAAACAATAACAACCCAGCAAAGGAATCATCAATAAACAACCTTGTTTCATCATTTAACTTCACAATATAAATCTCAGCTTGAGTTAATACTCCACAAATATCCAATACCAGGAAAACATAATAAG